ATACACTGTGAGTTCTACTGTGGAACTTGCAATACTTTTGGGCGAAGTAAGCTGGGAACTAGCATCCTTTGCAGACGTTATTGTATCGGTCATACGTTCCCTTAGCCTCCTTTAGCAGCCGCCCCTGTGTCGTCACGCAACGCTTCTCCCCACGGAGAAGCGCTGCGTGACGACACAGGGGCGGCTGCTAAAGGAGGCTAACGTTCCCTTGACCGATACTAATAACGTCTGCAAAGGAGACTAAATGGGAACCAGTTCATTCAAAATTAAAAATTGCGCATGTCCTTGCACGGGATTACAGCGTACCTAACTCAAACATGCGCGAAAGTTGCCCAAAGGGTGATAATCTTGTGCAATGACTTCGCGTTATTACTGCGGTGACGCGGATTCGAAGAGTAGACCTGATTTTTACGATATGTAAAGTAAAAACATTTTTCATCAACTTTGTCGCAATAACGTTTTTGACGTTTCTGCTTATGAAACTTCATCAAGTAGAATCATTTCAAATATTTTATTGTAATAATTAGTATGTATTTTTACTGATTAATAAAGACATTATTATTATTATCATAATTGGATTTCTTTGTTCAGAAAAGAGGACTGGACGACAAGAGCAAAGTACCATACTTTCCATACAGAGATGATGGCGAGCTGATTCATACTAGTATTAAAAACATGCTCAACGAATATGTTAAGCTGTAAGTAGGACTGGGTACAGCCAAAAGTGGGTCTTATCACTGTACATCGAAATTTCTATGCTAAAATATTTGACAATATCCATCAAAATGCAAGAAAAATGTCAAAAACAAAAAAGAAAAAAGAAAAAAAGAAAAAGAAATATGGTCATTTTTATTAGATTTGGCCTTTTTCGAATTAATATTGAAACTAATAACTAATAATATCATTAAATTTCATTTTTCGAATTAATATTGAAACTAATAATATCATTTCAGGTATTATAAACACACGTGCCATGTCAGATTTGATCCCGAGCTTCAAAATTTTGCTAATGAAGTGTCTTTTGAGGGCAAGTTCAAGCCAGATGGAGGTCATGGAATGGTAAGGAGCATGCTCAGTTTGACTTGTTTGAAGCGGCATTTAGCGTAGATAGCTGCAACGCTGCAGAACGTGTATTATCAAAATGTTGACCGAGTAAAATTTAATCCCCTATATCAACATAGACTTGTTAGTAAGTAGATTCAATCACAGGTTTTTTCAAAGTCCGCCAAATAAAAAAGTAAATAAAAGTAATAAAAGTTGACAACAAGGCTACATTTAACCGTTGAATTTATCCGGTCCAGCCAAAACAGGCTCATTAAAAACGTCCAGTTAGTTTTCTCTCCTTTTGAATGCTACAGTACAATCTAATCTAATCTAATCTGTCGCTGATATTCTCCGGAAGCATAAAATGTCATTTCATTTCTATGCTGATGACACTCAAATCTACATACCTTTCTCCTGTAATGATGAAAACGCCTTGGATGCTGCCTTAAACAGTATTAAAGCTTGCCTCTGTGATATTGATCTCTGGATGACTATCAACAAACTTAAACTGAATAAGGACAAAACTGAATTTCTTATTTTTTCGTCTAAGCACTCTCTATTGAGCTCCTCACCGGTAATCAGCTTTGGCTCTGAAATAATTCATCCCTCCTCTTGTGTTCGTAACATTGGTGTTCTTTTTGACTCTTCTCTGTCCTTGGCTAATCACATCAAAATGACCTGCAAATCCTCTTTTTATCATCTTCGAAACATTTCAAGAATCAGAAAATTCCTGTCTGTTAAATCTACGGAAATCCTTGTTCACTCGTTCATATCATCTAAACTTGACAATTGCAACTCTCTACTATATGGCCTCCCTAAATATCTGATTGATCGTCTACAAGCTGTCCAAAATGCCTGTGCTCGTCTTGTCATGCTTTCTAAAAAACATGACCACATTACACCTCTGCTTATCAATCTTCACTGGCTTCCTGTCTCCGCACGTATCAAGTTTAAAATTCTCCTTCTGACTTTTAAAGCTCTTCATGGCCTGGCTCCTATTTATGTTCAAGATATGCTTAAAAACTATCGTCCTTCTCGTTGTCTTCGTTCGTCGTCTCAACTGTTACTGTCTTCCAAGTCTTACAATCTTAAAAGTTATGGTTATCGTTCTTTTAGTGTTGCTGGACCTTTTCTATGGAATTCACTGCCATCTTCAATCAGAGACATTTCTTCACTTGACAATTTTAAAACTGCTCTCAAAACCTTCCTTTTTAAACAAACTTATGATCTGTAACTCTATTTTAACTTTCTTAATATCTTAATTTTTACCTTTTTATTTGCGCTTAGAAAAAGTTTTATAAGCGCTTTATAAGCTTAGATTATTATTATTATTA